CCACCCTCTGGAAATTTTGATGATATAGGTGTTGGACCTCTTGAATTGGTCTAATTCATTCTTATATTTTGTCTCTTTCTATTTTCTCCATTTTCTGAATTCTTCAACTTGATCTTCTGACACTTTGAGTTTTTCTTTTCCATAACCACACTAAATTCCCCCCCTCCCCAGCTCTGACTAAAGAATATATTTTTCCCCTAGTATCTCACTAATGGTACAAATGGAAGATGTTTGTTATTGTTACTTTTAAGTTTTTCCTCTCCAGAAGAGTTTTAGTTTTTTTCTGAGCAACTTTTCTTGTTGTTGTCATTATCTGTTTCCCATGCTGCTGCTGTGTGTTGTAGAGTCAGTGCCAGCTCATAGCTCTTCTGCATAGAGTTCCTCAAGCTGGAAATCTTGACAGGAAGAGAAAGCCTCATCTTTCTCCCCCAGAGAGGCCAGGGGACTCCAACTGCTGACTCTGGTTTCCAGCCCAGTGTGTGACCTACTACATCACCAGGGCACCTTTCTGTCTTCCGTGATGTTGTTGTTAAGTGTCATCGAATCTGCCCCAGTTCATAGTGATCCTGTAGAGCGTGCGTGAGGAGCAGCTTGTGGATTTGAACTGCAGACCTTGTGGTTCACAATCCAGTCCTAAACCCTTACTTTTCTGTTCTTGATTCAGAATGCAGGGTTAGGAAATTGAATGGAAGCCCCAAGCTTGTGGGTATAGCTTTGCAGCTCTGGCCTTACTGCTGGACGATATGGGTAGGCAGTGAACCGGGGTGTCAGGGTCTCTAGTCTTTCTTTGTCTGCTGGTAAAATCCTCCTGGGTTGACTTCTCATCTTCTGTTAGGAGATGGAGGTGGGGGACTTGGAACAAATATCTAGAGTTGTGGGGCAAAGTCCCAAGGGAAGGCAGGTCTTGGCATTGTGTTTCTAAGCAGCTACATGAACCACATGGGTCTTGTGTTGAAGCCTAGACCAGAGACCTGCTATCCCTGCTGGAAAAGAACTCTCCGGTCTTCTCTAGAAGCCAGGAGGGCAGTCTCCCAGGAGCCTGGATTAGAACTCTTAAGGCTCAAATGCTTCTTAAACAGCTCTACATCACCCTCCATATTTTACCTCCGCTTTCAGCTCTGTTTCCATAGGTAGCTGCAACACCTGAGACTTTTGGAAAAAAAAATTTTTTTAATTTTTGTGTGTGAATTGAGTGGTGAAAGTTTACAGGGCAGAGCATCAGTTTTACATTCAACAAATCATATACTTTGTTTCATTATAATGATTATAATCCCCTCCATGTACCATCAGTTAACATTATTTCTCTCTATTCATTTTAGTTTTTTTTTTCACCCAACACTCAGGCATATATAATAATTTAAACCTCCAAAAGGCATGTTCTGCAAGTCTGCCTCCTGGCCGCCAGTTCTCAATCCCTCTTTTCCCATGAATCTAGAGTCCTCAACTGCTCCTTCTATCTCTCCATATCATCATCTCTGCCTCCGTCTCTGGTGTGGCTATTTCTCTGAATAAGGTCCCACATTCCACCTGGTCTCTTCTCCCTTGATGGCCCTAGGTCCTGTGTTCCTGGAATGTAAGATTAATTACTGCTTCAGTTTTTTTGTTATTTTTCAAAAAATGTTTTGTTGTGATTTATATGATAGTTTACATGGGAGAACATTAGTTTTACATTCATCCTATCATACATCGTTTCACTGCCATGGTTACAATCCCCTCCATGCATCACCAACCAACCAAAGGGTATATACCCTGCAAGCCTGCCCTCCGGTCATCAGCACACAGCTCCTCTCTGTCTCTGGGTCTAGAGTTCCTAGCCGCTCCATCTCTCCATGTCATCATCTCTGTCTCCAACTCTGGCGTCACTGTTTGTCTGGGTAGGGTCCCACACTCTGCTTTTCTCCCTTGATGGTCCCAGGGACCTCCACTCCTGGACTGCAAAATCAATCACTCCCCTCCTTTTGCTACAAAATGTCTACCTTTACATTTCCAACCCTCACAGTCAGTCCTGATAACAATTATTCACTATTGTAACACAAGAGACCTATCCCCATCTCCTTTCATCACCCCCGCCCAAACACATTGGATCCTACTCAGTTACTCCATCGTTTTTGTTACAAAACTTCTACTTTTACAACTGTGACAGTCTCAATCATGATAACAATTACTCATTATTGAATCATAAGGATCTTATCCCCATCTCTTTTCACCAGACCTATCTAGATAAGATGAACAGTGGGGACCCTTCCTTCCCCCACATACTGTTAAACTAAACTCCCTTTTGAAAACTTGTAAGCCAGTGACTTCATGCCTTTATCACCCCCTCATTTTAAGTAGCCAATGTCTAAGTTGCCTATCCCTATGTACCCTGTATACAGAGGGGATAGCATTGATACTTGATATTAAGACTCCTTCCCTCTCTGTTGGTATTTTGAGCTACTACCTCCATGAATATAGGTCAAGTTCATCAAATTGTAGTAATTTATCCTCATTTCATTTATCAAAAATTGTTTTGTTTTGTTTTTTTCTTTTTTATCTTCCTTTAGTCGAGTTTGATTATCAAGCCTTCAAGGCTAGGTCATATGGATACTATCTGCAAATTTGGGTGCTCTTAAAGATTCTTAGAATGCTCCACTGCCTACCAAGTATTTCAAGGCCTTGAATTAATCCATTTTCAATTTTTAAAATTGCCGCTGCTGCTTTCTTCACTTTTGTTTTCAAGGCTTTATGGGTTTAATTCCTTTTAAAGAAATTTCATCACCTGTAGTTTCAGAGGATTTTCAGGAAGTGGCAAAATTCGGCTGACTCTCACTCATGGTGACTTCTGTCTCAAGGTTTTTTATGAATTTGATTGTAAACACACTTATTAGAATTTTACCCAAAAGTTCTTTAAAAACTAGGTTTATGGTATATTACATTAAATAAGATTGGTCTTGACTTTTGCCAGGCATCTGGGAGAGCTTCCTTCTCAAGATATTTAACAATAAATAAATAAATAAATAATAGTAATTTAGGGTGTTTCCAGTGACGGTTTCTACAGAAGTATAGATTCTCATTCAATGGTGTCTACACAAATGATTCTGTGACATTGGTAAAAGTCACTTTGGTGAACTTCACAATATGTGAACATTCACATTTCCATTCTGGTTGTTCCTCTTCCAGTAATCTAGTCTCCCTGCATCCTCACATTCTCATCTTTGTTTTAAAGGAATTGCTGCCCATTTAGCCTCGTTATTATGATTTTTTAAAGGATCACAGTACTCACGTGCTATTCTTTATTTTGTGAGACAATCTGTTATTTAAAAGGTAACAGTCATGTAGTTTCAGTTCAAGGGTTAAAGAATATTTCAAGGTAATCGTCTCAGGGAGTCCTCTAGTCTCAAGCCTGGGTGTTTGGCTTTAGTCTACTTTCTCTTTTTGGAATTTTGGTTCTGTTCCATAGTTTTCTCCCATTCTACCTGCTGAAGACCTTTTAGCTAAATGCTTGGCTTATGGCTTGTACTCATTGCAAGTAGTATGAATTGTGGTCTCAAGGGGACTGGCATGTGTATGTGAATTCCCAATGGGAGTTTACCCCATCCATTCAGAGCCAGATCTAGCACAGGCAAACTTCTCTACTGTGTCCCATTCGTTATTTCCTGAGCTTAGAGCCTTTCAGGGCTCTTAAATTCATTTAGGGGTCTTTGATCTGACTTATACACTTTGCCGTTAAGTTGGTATTGACTCATAGAGATGTTATGCACAGCAGAGTGAAACACTGCCCAGTCCTAGGCCAACCTCACAATTGTTGCTACACTTGAGCCCATTGCTGCTACCACTGTGCCAATCCATCTTGTTTGGGATCTTCCTCTTTTTCACTGACCCTCCATTTTACCAAGCATGAGGCCCTACTTCAGAGACTGAACCCTCCTTATAATATGTCCGAAGTATGAGAGATGAAGTCTGGCCTTCCTGGCTTCCAAGGACCGTTATGGCTGTACTTTTTCCAACACAGATTTTGTTTGTTCTCTTGGCAGTCCAGGGTAGTTTCAGTATTCTCCCCCAATGTCATAACTCAAATGCATCAAATCTTCTACGATCGTCCGTATTCACTGTTGAACTTTTGCATGCATAGGAGGTTATTGAAAATACCATGACTTGGGTCAGGCATAAACTGACATCTATGCTCTCTCCCTTCCTCCTGTGCCTCCAGCTCTACCAAGGCAATACACTTCTTGTCTATAGTTAACATTTTGAATAGGGTTTCTGAGGAGTGGCTGGTGGGTTTGAACTGCCGACCTTGTGGTCGGTCCAGTGCATGATCCTGCAGTACTATAAAGATTCCTGCCTAGAAAACCCTACTGGACAGCCATTCTCTTTCACATGGGATTACTAAGAGTTGAAATTGAATCCACGGCTGCTAACAACTATAATCCTAGTCAGAGATTTAAATATCACCAAAGCTGGCCCAGTTGGATCCCAGCAGGAAGTAGGAGCCATGCCCCTTGCCAGTCCTGGTCCTGTGACGACAACACAGTCTCTGTTTTAATAGCCTTGATGTGGCGCTGTAGGATAAGCACTGGATTGGTAACTAGAGAGAGGACAATTGAAACCCACTTGCTTCTCTTGGAAACCCTATGTAGTGTTACTATGAGTCGGAACCAACTTGATAGCACACAACAGTATTGACAGTAAATTTGTCCCTTCTAGAATCTGTATCCAAGAGCCCCCCAATTCCTTTTGTTTTTTAAATGCTGTTGTCTTTCTCCTCAAACTTACAAATGCCTAAATATGCTTACTTAAAAAAATATCAGAGTAATATGTACATATGAAAAGCCCTGTTTACCGTTTTGTGTTTCCTTCCAGAAAGTAATTTATGTATGGCCATGCATGTATCATAATATTAACACATCACCCTATTGTACAGTGTGACTTTTCACTCAATAATAGCTATTGGAGGCAGTTCCTTACCAGCGGCTAAGGTTTTACTCATGTTTTAACTGGCGATATAACCTTCCATTGTAGTCACAACAAGGTACTAAATCCACAGGAATGGATTTAGCTTGTAGCTTGTTCATAGACAGGAATTTTATTTCTATATTTTGTCCCAGTGACCACTGATTGGTACTATGAGCTTCCTTTTTGTACTTGTATCTTAGTGAACTTTTGATTAAGTATCACCAGGAATGATTTGTGGTGAACTTGCAGAACTAAAGGATCTGCGTAGTTTAATTTGCGATGTGGTGATGCTAGTTGCTGTTGAGTCACCGTAAATTCAACAGCATTTTTTTTATAACAGAACTAAACATTGACTTGTCCTGCGCATATTTATGACTATTGTTGTTGTGTGCCGTGAGTTGGGTCTGACTCACAGTGACCCTGTAGAGAGGGCTTCCTAGTTGTAAATGCACATGGGAGCAGAAAGCCCCATCTTTCTCTCTTGGAGTGTGTACTTACAGTCTCTTTTCTGGAACCAAAGAGGTAGCATCTTTTCAATTTTCTTGTTTCCTCCTCAAACTTATGAAACATCATTTAATGAACCCTCTTCTACCAGATCGAACTGACTCCACTGCACTTAACAACAACTTCTACCAGATCATTCCTGGTAGTTTCAAAACTTTGTTTTTCTCTGTTGTCAAGGGAGTCCTTTCATGTCTTAGTAGATGAAGCAGGAGCCGAGATGAGCACTCTGTTCCTCAGTCTCTTTTGGAAGTAAGAGTGTGGTTCACCTGCTCTGACCGAGGGCTTCTCTCGTCATGTGTAGGGTGCTTGTGTGTGTGTGTGTGTGTGTGTGAAAGCAGGTATCTGCTCGGTGTGTGCACTGCTCTCATCCTTCACCACGATGATCTCCTCAGCATAGCACTTCTGGGGAAGTACTGCTTCCTTCTCATGTTACAAACAGGGCAGCGGAGTGTGTCAATGACTTCCTTAAGAGCACACCTCTAGAAAGTGGCATGGCTTTCATTGTATCTCAGATTCCCAGATCCTAAATTGTTCATCGGCTGAGGATAGAGATTATAAGGTGAGTAGAGCTCTTTTCTTCAACAAGTGGAGGATTTGACGTCTTTATTTTCATGGCGGCTGCAGCGGAGAACATTGAGAACAGCCTCCGAGAAACTGAAAAGCCGGTCATCTTTCTCTACCAATGTTGTCTACACCACACCCAGCACTCGTGTCAACAAGTACCTCAGTCGCCTCTTGGAAGCCCGGCAAACAGATGTAGAGATGGCGGACTTGAACTTCTTCACCTTGAAGTACAAGCACATTGAACGGGAACGAAAGGTTAGTGACTCAGGGCCACAAGTGTAAGTCAAAATCCCAGAGGGTCAACCCAGACGGTTGCTGCTTTTTCCTTTGAGTAAGGATAGCATCCTCCCCAGAAAATGTGCTGAGTGTGTGTGGGTCTGCCTTTGCATTGTGAATGGAATGAAGGCTCACAGTGTGCCAGGTGTTTTTGAGACTGTGCATGTCCCTTCGTGGTTTGTGGCCCTCATTTAGCGTTCGGCCTTTCTCTCTCACACAGTACCACCAACTTCCAGATGAGTACTTCACCAGCGCTGTTGTTCTCTCCCTCGTTCTAGCTGCCTTACTCGGGCTGGTCTGCCTTCTCGTAATCCCACCGTAAGTGCCAGCCTTGCTTCTCTCCATCACAGGAGAAGGCCCTCAGGAAGCCTGTGTTTCTGGGGTTGGCGGTGTGTTTTCTAAGTTCACTGCCCATGGTTGCTCTAGCTAAAGTGCTGTTGTGTGGCAGCGTTTGGGGAAGATATGCCAATCACACACAAATTCTCTATTTAATCAACAGAGTTCCACAAGCCTCAATGACAAAAGTGCGCCACTGCTTGCTTTTCACTTGTAAGCTCACATTTATGCTGTTTTAAGACACAGATATTTCCCGTTTCTCCATCAAGATGCAAGATGCACTATTAACTGAACAATGGCTTTTGCAGCAGAAACCAGTCCACTAAATGGATTTGTTGCTGCCCCGGTGCATGTCACTTTCAATGAGAAACATTCAAATGAGAAGAAACACCTCTTCTTCAACTGGAATATATATAAATATATATATATATGTAGCAATTTCAACAAAATTTAATCCTCAGCTAACTGAAGTAGTTTGGCAGCTTTTGTTTTCTGGTAAGGAAGACACAGAAATCTCTGCCTCTCACTTTTCGTCCAGATATACCATTTTCCTAATAGACTTCTGAGGAGAATAATATCTCCCTCAAGTTCCCAGAAAACAGATGGAAGCCACCCCAGCCCTACTGTGTAGGACATCACTCTGGGGACTCTGAACACACCTCCCAGTGTTCCCTGGGAGGAATGGGGCCTCTAGCAAAGTTGGTGGTTCTCAGGCTGGACTGAGATCTTGATGATGGGTGGAGGTCGGGTGAGATGGGGTGGCTATTAGGAGTCCTTGTGTGCCCTATTGTAGGGTACAACCCATCACAGGCAAGTCCCCAAAGATTTGGTGGCAGGCAGCCTTCCTGGGAGGGGCTCTCTGAGATGTGTTGGGAGGGAGAGGAGGTGGCAGACTTGGCCCCCAGCCAGCAGCGCCCCATGTTTTCTGTATCTCTAGGAACCTGCTTGTCCTGGTCCTGCTTGTGTTCTGCATTTGCTTCTTGGTGGCATGTATCATGTATCTGCGTGTCACACAAGTCCAGGTAAGTGCATGGCTCTGTCACCTTCTCAGAATGGCGAAAGTGGCAGGTAGAGCAGGTCTGCTCTTTGGGTCAGTGTGGTGTGGTTACACCATGCTGGGTCTTCAGTCATACCTGGTGTACACAAGAAGGGAGCTGATGTCTTTCAAGGTTGTGACCAGGTGCTCCAGGAGTGGGCATCTCACAAGGGCACAGGAAACAAATGTGTTTTTATGAGTTCAGTTCATGGACTCAACAGGCAAGAGCAAGTGATGGTATTTTTCTAGGAGGGCTGTCTATAATTTAGATCCTAGCACTAGTCCTGGTGTGGCATTGTGGGAGAAAGCACTGTACCTCAAGGTTGTTTGAATTATAAGGTTGGTGGTTCAAACTCACCAGCTGCTCCTTGGACACCTTATACAGGGTTGCTATGAGTTAGAACTGACTCGAGGCACTTAACAACAGCAACAACAACAACTAATTCTTCACTTGGTTTTGGTCTCGTGGGTGTTTAGAGCAGAGAGTTGGAATTTGAAACCTTGAAGAACTTGTGGCTCTTTAGAAAAATCAATTTTCTAGACCTACATTCCTTTGCCTGAGTCCCTGAGTGTTATATATGGTTAAGCACTTGGCTGCTAACTAAAAGGTTGGTGGTTCAAACCCACCCAGAAGCACATCAGAGGAAAGGCCTGCCAGTCTGCTTCTATACTGTTCCAGCCATGAAAACCGTAGACTTGGAGCCCACTCTGCTCTGACACACACAGCGGCTATGAGTCAAACAGATTCCGCTACAAATGGTTTGGCTTCTTTGTATTTGTTGTTTGCATTCCCTCTTTTACCTTTCTTTTTCCATGTCCCATCCTCCCCAATGTACCCTCTATTGTCACATTTAATTGACCCAGTGTTGTGTGTGCATACTTGTTGAAAACATCAATTTCTTGGAGAGATCAAATCTAATTTTACTAACTGATCTTTTCAATTATCCATAAATCATTTCTTGATTTTTTTTCTTCAGTTTGGTAAACATACATTTATTTCATATTATTATTATTACTTTAAGTTTTTATTGTGAATTAAGTGGCAGTTTACATGGGAGACCATTGGTTTTACACTCTTCATATCACTCTTCATTTCATTGCAGTGATTACAGCCTCCTCCATGCATCATCATTCAACAGTATTTGCTTCTGTTCCCTCTGGTTGTTTTTTCTTTTTTCTTTTGATGTACACCAAAACACTCAGGAATATATAATCATTCAAACAACCAAAGGGCACATTCTGCAAGCCTGCCTCCTGCCTGCCAGCACACAGCCTTTCTCTTTCCATGAGTCTAGAGTCCTCAGCTGCTCCCTCTCTCCATGCCCTCATCTCTCCCTCCATCTCTGGTGTTGCTGCTTCTCTGAATAGGGTCACTTCTTGATTTTTTTTAAAGATAAAAAGATACCATGTCTTTAGACCAGATTCCCGGCTCACTCACATTTAAAGGGTGAGTGGTATTTGGAATGGTAAGCATTAAAATGATCGGCTTTAAGTAGAATTGTTTATTCATATAATTTTAAGTGAAAACATGATAAATAGGTGATTACTAAAGTCTCTCACAGCTTTCCCCAGGATTGGGGACCCGTGTATCTAGTTCTGTCTCAATAGCATGAGCTATGCAGAAAGCAGGACTCACCATTAGGGGAAACAGCAACTCCAGAACCATAGCTGCACCATTTGAGCCCACAGTAGAGGGCTGCCAGGAACAGTTGGTTTCTTGCATAGATTTCTCACACCTCTGCTGGTTCCATGGTTGTTAAGTGCTGTTGAGTCAATTCCAACTCATAGTGACCCTGTATCGGATTTCCAAGGAGTGGCTAGTGAGTTTAAACCACTGACCTCGTGGTTCAGACAAACCATGTATTTAAAAATATCCCTCTTTATTACACTGCTCTAAATAGTTGTCTAAATAAATCACCACACACACTCAATTTATATGTTGAACAAATGATCCCGAGAAGTTGGATTATATGCAGAAGAACTTGGCTTCAAGATTGAAGGAAGATTCATTAATATGCAGATGACACAACCTTCCTGTTGAAAACAAAAAGGATTTGAAGTGCTTACTGACTACAGCCTTCAATATGGATTGCACCTCAATGTAAATAAAATGAAAATTTCCATAACTGGACCAGTAAATAATATCATATGGGGAAAAGATTGAGTTATCTAAGAATTAATTTAGTGTAGATCCACAACCAGTGCTCATGCAAATGCAGTCAAGAATTTGATGATGTATTGCGTTAAGCAACTCTGCTGCAAAAGAACTCATTAAAGTGTTAAAGAGTAAAGATGTCACTTTGAGGACTAAGGTGGTCTTGACCCAAGCCATGGTATTTTCAATAGTTTTATATGCATGTTAAAGTTGGACAATGAATAAGAAAGGCCATAGAAGAATCAATGCATTTTGAATTATGGTGTTGACAAAAAATATTGAAAGTACCATGGACTGCCAGAAGAACAAATAAATCTGACTTGGAAGAAGTACTGCTAGAATGTTCTTTAGAATTAAATGTGGTGAGACTTAATCTCTTATATTTTGAACATGATGCTAGAAAGGACCAGTCCCTGGAGAAGGACATCATGCTTGGTAAGGTGGAGGGTCAGCAAAAAAGAGGAAGACCCTCGCAATGAAATGGATTAGCACAGTGCCTATAACAGTGTGCTCAAACTTCATAATAATTATGAGGGTGGCACAGGACTGGACAGTGTTTCGTTCTGCTATGCATGGGGTCACTATGAGTTGGAACCAAATTGATGGAACCCAACAACAAAAACAAATGATATCCACCAACCATACAAAGGAATTTAAAGATAATAGATTTTTTCCAAGATTATTTTGAAGCCCCGTCTTATACCTCATGAATAATGGAAGCATCATTTCCCAGTGCCTTACCTGGATGTATTAGGGTTGGCCTTCTATGTTGTTGCTGTTAATTTCCATCAAGTCAGCTCTGACTTTTGGGGACCCCATGAACAAGAGAACAGAATGTTGTGGGGTCCTGGGCTATTGTGATTCTCTGCATGCTCGAGCCCATCTTTGCAAGTGTTACAGTGCCCTCCAATATAGGGGACTCATTGTTCAGCGTAGGTTTCTCAGTGGCTAATTTTTTGTGGTATAAAGCCAGACTTTCCTCCCTAGTCTGTGTTAGTCTGGAAGCTCCACTGAAACATGTCGACCATGAATGACCCTGACAACATTGGAAATACTGGTAACATAGTTCTCAGCATCATGGCAACACACAAGGCACTGTGGTACCACAAACCAGCAGATGGGACTCCGTCTGATTTCTTCGGATGCACTCTACCACGGCTCAGTACACTTTCTGGCCTTCTTTTCTCTGAAGAGGACACACGTTTTGTTCTCCGATTTGCTCTGCATCTCCCCGGGGTTTGGGCTGGTCACATCATTGCCTCATTTGTAGAACCAGCTCCAGATGCCCACGTTCTGTTGGTGCAGAGTGCTTTGTGAAAGCCCCTCCCTGTCAGCGCTCTGTGCATCTGCGTCCTCAGCATGCTTTGAAGATGTTAGAAACAGCTCACTGGGTTGTTGCTTAGCTAATTGTATGTCATGTTCCTAGGGAAATTTTCCATTTGTTCACATCAGAACAGCAGTTTTTTACAAACTGAGGAACACTGGTAGTGTAGGCGGTTCAAATCTACCAGCTGCTCCACCGGAGAAAGATGAGGCTTTCTGCTCTTATAAAGATTTAAAGCTTCAGAAACGTTGAACTTGTACTGCCAGCCCATTCTCAGGCTGGCTTGCCCCCAGGAGGTAGGATGTCAGTAGTTCACACTTAACATACCCCTCCCACCCCACCCCCCACCCCCACACACACATCCAACATACACACTGCCTGGTAGGAATGGGACGTCTCTCCCACTTCTCAGGTAAACGAAGGACTTCTTCTCAGTAGTCCCTGGCACCTTGCCCTATATCAATAGGGTTCCAACAGAGACACAGAGCCACTAGGATATATGTTGTGTGCACCACACGTAAAGGACTCCACAAAGGAATTTGACTTGTAGAGCTGTGCTTTGAAATCTCAGGGCACCAAGAGGAGGTGTGAGGTAAGCTGGGGCGGGCAGGGAGCAGGGGCAGCGGAAGCAAGGACTCACGTTCCCTACCACACTCCTTGACACTCTTCCATCCTCCAACCACTGGCCTGTCCCAAAGCCTTTCCCACATTTTGGGTGTTTGTTATGACAGCTCCCTACTTCAAGCACCAAAATCTGGGTGTCCTGGTGTGGTGCTGTAGGATAAGCACTAGACCACAAGCTTGGTTTGAACCACAAGGTTGGCAGTTCAGACCCACCAGCTGTTCCTCAGAAATCCTATATGGGGTTACTATGAGTGAGAACCAACAACAAGAGTGTCAAATCATCACAAATTTAGTGACATTAAAAACAAAAACACCCATTTATGAACTCATAGTGCTATACGTCAAAATTCTCCTTAGAACGTCACAAGACCCAAGTCAAGATATCAACCTGGATTTTATCAGGAGGCTCTGGGCATGAACTTGCTTCCAGTCTCGTACAGGTTGTTGTCAGACTTCCGTTCCTGGAAGTTGTATCCCTGAGGCCCTGTGTCCTTGCTGGCTGCCAGCTGTCCCACTCTCACTAGGCCTTGCACATGGCCGCCTCCATCTGCCAGCCAGCAATGGAGGGGATGCTGAGTCCTTCTCCTGCTGCAGACCGTCTGACTTCCTTTTGTGCCACCAGTGGGAGAAAACTCTGCCACTAAAGGGCTCATGTGACTAGATGCTGTCTAACTGTGTAATATTCTGATTAACCCAAAGTCAACTGATTAGTAATATTGTTGTTGTTAAGTGCTGTCAAGTTGGTATCAACTCACAGCAACCATGTATAGGGTTTTTGAGGAGCAACTGATGAGTTTGAACTGCTAACCTTGAGATTCAAACTGACCTTGTGGTCCTATGGCGCCACACTAGTCATATTGGTGGTAGTGGTGGTTGTGTGCCA